ACATCAGCAATAATAATGATCATACTAATAATAATGACAACGAAAATGATGACAACAATAACATCAGCAATAATGATAATAATGACTATAATAATAATGATAATGATAACAATAATGATAATGATGATAAAGATGATGATAACAATAACATTAGTAATGATGATAATGGTAATGATGATATCAATGCTGATGATCATAATGATAATAGTAATGATAATAAAGACGAAGATGATAATAATGACGATGATCATGATAATAATAAGGAAAATCACAACAATTATGATAACAATAACAATGATAACTAGAAGCATTTAGAGAGCATATACCTCCGCTTAGGGAACTGGGTAAATGATGCAATAGAAATGTTCAAGAATTATATTAAAATCACCTCTTTCTCAAGTACATTGGTAACGTCCATAAACATAATAATAGTTGCCCCTTTTGCCAGTACAACCGGGGTAACTGATGCAGTCATGAAAAAAAAAAAATCCTGGATCCGGATAATGATCCAGTTTACCACCAATATTTAAGGACACCGAATGCTACGACACAGCTCTTGTAAAAAATAAAAAAAATCTGTTCACAACCTTTTGAGTTATCCTGTTAACGTACAAACTAACCGACGCTACACAAACGAGTAATCTCCTTGGCGAACATAATCATAATAATGATAACAAGAAAATATGAGACAATAATGAAAAATGTTAATAATAAAAATTTCCATAATGATAATAGTAACAATGGTAATAATATGGAGATCAGGTCTCACAAGACATGAGATAAGAATGCATTATAGGAATTACTTATCATTGTACGATAAGATTGTATTGCAGGGAAAAGCAGTTGGTTCTTGGAATAAGGTGACTATGAGCATATGCGAATATAGTTGATGTTTTTTATTTCTCACAGAATCATGATATAAGAGAGAGGGGGAGGGGGGGAATGAGAGAGAGAGTGAGTGTGTGTGTGTGGTGTGTGTGTGTGTGTGTGGTGTGTGTGTGTGTGTGTGTGTGGTGTGTGAGTGTGTGTGTGTGTGAGAGANAGAGAGAAGAGAGAAGGGGAGAGAGAGGAGAGAGAGGAGAGGAGGAGAGAGAGAGAGAGAGAGGAGAAGAGAGAGAGAGGAGAGGAGAGGGAGAGAGAGGAGAGACAGAGAGAGAGAGAGAGAAGAGAGAGAGAGAGAGAGAGAGGAGAGAAGAAGAGAAGAGAGAGAGAGAGAGAGAGAGAGAGAGAGAGAGAGAGAGAGAGAGGAGAGGGAGAGAGAGGAGAGAGAGGGGGAGGGGGGGGGGATAGAGGGGAGAGAAGGAGAGAGAGGAGAGATAGAGGGGAGAGAGTGAGAGATAGAGGGGAGAAAGTGAGAGATAGAGGGGAGAGAGAGAGGGGGGGGAGGGAGAGAGAGAAGAGAGAGAGAAGAGAGAGAAGAGAGAGAGAGAGAGAGAGAAGAGAGAGAGAGAGAGAGAGAGAGAGGAGAGAGAGAGAGGAGAGAGAGAGAGAGGAGAGAGAAGGAGAGAGAAGGAGTGAGAAGGAGAGATAGATAGATAGATAGATAGATAGAGAGAGAGAGAGTGAGAAGGAGAGATAGATAGATAGATAGATAGATAGAGAGAGAGAGAGTGAGAAGGGGAGAAAGAGAGAGAGAGAGTGAGAAGGGGAGGAGAGAGAGAGAGAGAGAGGAGAGAGAGAGAGAGAGAGAGAGGAGAGAGAGAGAGAGAGAGAGAGAGAGAGAGAGAGAGAGAGAGAGAGAGAGTAATAATAATAATAATAATCTTTATTTCCAATTTACACTGGTTATTCTGCACATTATACAATTTACAGCTATATCATTAAAACATATAAAATATCACATTTCAGTTTAACATAAAATAATAGTAGAATGAATTCAATAAAATGTAGACATTCTTGATGTTATACATTAGGTTAGAAAAGTGTAAGATAATCCTCAACATACAAAGCGCGGACTTCTTTCCAGACAAGGTGTAGCATTTTCACAGAAGCTAATGCAAAATATGGACAATATACAATTTACTCTATAAAATATTAAAATACATAAAATATATTTCCATAGACTTCATAGCATGAAAATAATATGCAGTACAGGACATTAAGATAAAATTTGAGTCACGTAAAATGCAGTAAGACAAGGCATAAAAAACAGATTAAAACTAACGTGGATAACACTACATTTTTAGACTAGATAGATCATTAATATACCAAGTAGTGTTAATTATGTACAGTATACAATTTAAAGTTAGAGATATACATATATACATAAAACATCAACATAGTTCGTAACCTGAGATACGAGTAGCGTGTAGCATATTTCAATAAAGTCCAATTTATAAATTATACATTGTGTCACATAAAATATATTAAGAGAGATATGAGTATGATTAATTTTGTTTACATAATAGATATTTCTTTGGTTTATTTTTAAAAGAGAATATAGACCGTGTGTCTCTGATTTCCGAAGGAATTTCGTTCCATAAAAGAGGTCCTCTTACTG